CTAAATGCTCGGACCTGCGAGTCGCTCAGGCCGGTCAGTAAGGAGATGACCGTGTCCATCATGTACTCGTCGTAGATGATGCTGTACTGGCACTGCCGCACCAAAACGGAGATGAACTCGCAGAAACCCCACCGGAACTTCTTCCACATGGGCCCAGCCATCGTGAGGGGGTAATCGCCGCTGTCCTGTAAAACAGCCCAGATCAGCTCTTCTGCTTCTCTCGTTATTACAGCTCAGACACGGACGATAACGGACAATCAATCACAGACGATCAATCACAGATAATCACAGACGATCACAGACCCATACCTCGTCAAACTCCTCCGTCATCTTTCTGATGATCTCCGAGTTCTGCATGTGTCTGAACATCTCCAAACTCACAGCACCTACGACACAGAACCTTCAGTAAAACGCAGAACGTTTACTGAGCAGAGCGTTTATAATCACACAGGTGAGTCCTACCTTTACAGCCTGAGCACTGGATGAAGAAGTTAATGAGCTCCAGCAGAGCGACGTCTCGGTCACTCTTATACGACTCGATCCAGTCGTCCACCACCGACTGCACGGAGAGACGTTAATCATCAGCCGGGACGACAATATGACAATTATCGTTATCAATGCCCAGTGCAAATATCTGGAACAAACTGAGCTTCCATGCATAAATACACCTGAGTAACACTCCTGCATAGTTTAGCGATACAGAACAGGCTTAGGTTCTATGTGCATGTGTATTTACCTGTGTAGCGCTCTTGCCCGGTGCAAATATCTAGAACAGGCTGAGGTTCCATGCATAAGTACACCTAAGTAGCACTCTTGCACAGTTTAATTACTGCCCAGTGCAAGTATCTAGAACAGGCTGAGGTGCTGTGCATATGTACACCCTGCATAGCTTAACTATCTAGACTATCTTGGGTTGTGTGTGCGTGTACCTGTGTTGCGCTCTTGCCCAGTTTAACGATCTCGAACAGGCTGAGGTTCTCCATGCCGTTCTCCTGATGGTGGCCGTTCACTCGACCCGGCGCACGCACTAGCACACCTTTACCTTTCTCACCTGGAACCTTCTTACCCTTCTACACCACACAGAGACAAACAGAACCAAAACACAGTGTCAGCGTTTATCTTTGATCACCCCAGAACACAGAGAACAGTCTTCAAACAGACACGTCTCTGACAGCTGATTGGCTGCTGAACACTCAGGTGATTTCTGATTGGCTGATCGTTACCTTTCCTTTCCCGGGTTTGGCATTCCGGCCCTCAGGATCCTCCAAGTCCGTATCGGAAGACAGCTGAGTGTCGGCTTCACTGCACAGACAAACACAGTGATTATTCATCAATATGAGTCAGAAACAGCAGCTCCTGCTCAGCGGCGGAGCGACTGACTTCAACCAGAGACATTATAAAGGAGGAGGAGACGCTCGCAGGGAAAGCCCTGCCCTTCAGGAAAAAGAGCCAATCAGCTTGCTGGTTCTGGCGTGAGCGGGGAAAGCCCCCCTCGTTGTGGAGATAAAATCACGCTTTAGTGTGTTACTGAGCCGAACGCTCAGTGATTTTCAACGTTTTTGAAACAAAGTAATTTGAAGTAATTAGACCTTCAGTTTGGAGCGTTTTGGTCTCTCCTTATTCAGAGAGAGAGGAGTCCGGACTCGCATGGCTGGAAATAACTGCCCGGCGGCGCTGCAGAGATGTTCGCCGAGTAAGCAGAACTTCCTTTAAGGACTTTGATTATAGCG